TTCCCCAGCCAGCCCTGCTGGCTGGGGAATTCTGGGAGTTGAAGTCCACACGTCTTCAAGTCGCCGAGGTTGAGAGACATTGGTGTACGGTCTTCTCCAGATGTGACATGCCCACTGCCTCCACCTGTCACTCCTAAGAGTTTCCTTTCATCTGGATTGTTCTCTGCTGGACACGCTCCGGCTCATCGGTGATCTTCCTAAACTACGATGGCCAGAACCGGACTCAGTATTCTAGGCCTGGCCTGACCAAGCCAGCATAGAGCGGCGGAGTGATGGCTCTCGATCTGGACGTGACACGTCTGCAGCTGCAGCCGAGGACTGCGGGGTTTTTCAGCTGCATCGCTGCTTGGCTGGCGCTCAGCTTGGATAAACAAAGCCAATGCGTTTTGCTGGGAAACGAATGTTTGGATCCTCTCTGCTCGAAGTCCCAGTTCGCTTCGTTGGCCTCTCTTTCGGCCCTTCCAGCCAGCCGCTAAATTTATCCGGGATGAAGCCGTTGGATACGGCAGGATTTCTGCCAGTTAGAATTAAGGGGAAGGGGGTGACTCAGCACCTCAGCTGCCCTTCCAGACTCACAAGGAAACGGGGTTGGCGTTTCGAGAAATCCGGCACAAAAGCTAACCTGGTGCGTAGTTGTCGAGATGGGAAATGTTTGGAGTTTGCGATCATCCAGGTTTGGCAATGTCGTATGGGCTCTCGAACCCTGTAAAACGAAAATAGAGGCTAGCCTCCGTTTGGAGATGTCTGTTTTGTAGAAAATAGGTTAAAAGTACTACTTGAAGTGAGGAAGGTAAATAGCATACAGATGTTTTCAGGGACAGAAGTGGGGCGCGAGGGTTCTGGCTGGGACCAGCCGGGGCAGGGGCTGTCATTTGTCCCCCACTGCCAGGCCCCTTGCAAATCCGGTGTGGGAGGGTGCCCTGTGAAGCGTCTGGATTCTCTTCCCCCCGCAGGTCCAGAACATCAGCCTTGCCGAAGGCGAGACCATCACTGTGGAGACGCTCGGAGGCATTGAGCCGGTTCCCCTGGCCAACGAGTCCTTCCTGATGCGTGGACAGGTGATCCGTGGCCCCACCAACCAGGTGGTGGTCCGGTTCCAGAGCCCCTCTCCTGCCAACCCGGGAACCTTCCACTTCCGCTTTGAAGGTGAGAGTCCCACGGGGATGCGGTCAAGGCAGCGGCGGCAGAACAGCCGAAGGGGTGATTTGGGGCGCGTCGAGGAGGGCTGGGGGGTCACCCTCTGCAAAGGAAGAGGGATCTGTTAGCCCTGTGAGGTAGTCCAGCCAAGAAGCACAACCAGGAGTGCTAGCTCTAACTTTATTGCGGGGTAACATTAACAGAACCTTGCAAGATGGGAAGTATTTCTCCCCTCTTCTCTTTTATACTCCGTAAAACCAGGGAGGGTCCCTTCTGAAACGCTCCCCACGCCTCCCCCTCTCCTTCTGTGGGCTGAGAAATCTTTTCCACGACAGTTGTCCGGTCTGTGGCTCTCCCTCCTGTCTCCCAAGGTCATCCCCACGTACATTACAGCAGTGTTTCTCAACCTTGGCAACTTTACCATGTGTGGACTTCAACTCCCAGAATTCCCCCTGGCTGGGGAA